TGTGTGTGTGTGTCCAGGCTGTAGAAAGACAGAGACAGACAGAAGCAAGACCAGCGGGCTGAGTGCCCAGGACCCCGGCAGGCCAAGGTGCCCTGGTAGTGGTTGGTTGGTTCCTGGGAGCAGGGGCAGCGATGGGTGAGAGGGTGGGCTCTGAGAGGCTGGTGCCAGAGGCCTGCCCTGCCCTGTGCTGCTGCTCTGGGTGGGTCAGGGGCAGCGGATGGCTTTCCCAGGTAGAGCAGCTGTGGCCCAGGCCCTTCTGGGCCTCTGGTTTTTCTGTGGCAGACCTTCGGGCTCACACAGCACCCTTGTAGTTAGACCCCCTCAAATCCCATGAGCTACTGGTTATTGATATCTATCTGGAGTGCGCCTGCTATGACCGGTCGGTGGCTCCCTCCCCACTTGTGCAAGAACCTTGCACACGGTGGCTCTGAGCCGAGGTGGCTGCTGTCAGGTGAATACCACGCTGGCTGTGCAGCAGAGGAGCGACCACGAAGCCCCACAGGAAAGGGCTGGTGTGAGCAGAGCCAACCTCTCCCTGCTGAAACGGGAGTGGGCGGAGGATTTCTGAGCACACAGGTGCCTGCCTGCACCTGGGTCCGCCCTCTCGGCACACAGACCCCACCCCCTGTGGACAGGAGACCTACAGTGGGCCCGTGGCTCCAAAGCCCCACCCACTTCCTCCTCTCAGGAGACGACGCCTGTGAGAAGCTTATGCTTTGCAGAGCAAGAGCGCTGCTGAATCCCTTGCGGGGCTGTTCCTGGGCATGGACAACCGGCTGGCAGCCGCTAGGACATGGGGAATAGCAGCTGCCTCTGAAGCACTCTCAGGTGGGGCGCCCTGGAGACCCTGGGAGGCTGGGAGCCCCCTATACAAACAGACGTGGTGTTCTGGTCAGTCTCTAGTACAGACAGGGCCCTGCCCTGATGGCTGCACCCAGGCTGGAGGGTTGAGGGTCCTTTGGCTCAGACTCTCAAATCTGCAGCACCCAGGACAGGGTGGGTAGCCATCCCACGGCTGCTGTGTAGGGAGGGGGAAAGGCACACCGAGAGCGGGAGGCTGCAGGCAGGAAGTAGGAGGACCTTCCTTTCCAGCCACCTGGGTATCATATTGGGTACCTGCAGACACCTGTGGCCGGCCCCTCCTCCAGCCTCCTCAGCTGCCCACCTGCAGGCCATGCAGGCCGATTGCTCAGAAGCGTCCAGCCTCCCCTATGCAGCCAGCAGCCCCACCACCGCACTGTCCCAGGACAGCTGGCGCCATGTCCCAAAAGGTCAGTTCCGCTTGTTCACCTGGTTGGTGCATGGGGTCCTGACTCCCCTCTAAAGTAATCATTCCACAGAACTTGGGCAGCTGTCAGAAAGCCAAGAGGGAGCAGGCTTTAGGGAAAGGAGAGTGTGTGTCTTTGGACATCTTATTTCCAGCCTGCAGTGTGGGGAGGAGGTAGGCAGAAGAGGAGGTGGCAGCCGGATTCCTGGAAGCTGCCTGGGAGTTGTCACTGCAGGTCACCCGTCTGCCACCCACCCACCCCGAGACTTGGTTCCTGGTGGATTTTCGTCTCAGCTGACTTTGATAGACTGGAATTTCCTTTCACAGGGACACCAGGGGACTGGGGGAGGCTTCCCACTGAGCTAATCCGAGAAACCAGAATGTCCCCACCGCTGTCCCGGGCATTGGTGTGGTCCTTGGAGGCCAGAGACCCTGTCGGCAGCAGCTGCTTTCCATCCAGGGTGAGGCCCACACCCAGGGCCTGCCCTCCGAGCCCGAGGTCTAGAGAGAGGTGTGGACTGGCACCTCCCAATAGAGGCCCCCACAGAGCTGTCCACAGCCACTAGCACCCCCACCCAGGTCTCCCACCCTCAGAGAAGCAGCCAACAGCTAGTTGGCACCCTCTCCACATCTTACGAACGCTCAACAGCTCTTTCACCTGTCAGGCTTTATTGTAAACGAGGCCCCATCCTTCGTCCTATGGAAGGCTTTTCAGTCACTTTGGTGTTGCCCTCAGAGTCCTCTGCCTGGCCACAGCAGAGCTCTGAGCTCCGTTCTGGGCAGGACTCCCCAGTCCGTGTCTGCCGCACGTGCTCGCTTTCCATGGACTTGTAGCCATTCTAATGTGTCTGCTCGAAGCCAGCAATCAATGGACGTTATTCATCAGTGAATTTGTGCCTGGGCCTGGGAGGAGGCTACGGGTGCCCCTTGTTGCTGGGGGGATTCGCTTCCTGCTACTACCCCCACTGAGCCCATTTGCAGCATCCTCATTTGGGCCTGTACTTATGGACCTGGAACATTCTTAAGCCAGCTGTCATCTCCAAGTGGAGAGTGTCTCAAATTATCCAGTGTCCTTTTCTGTTCAGTGCTGAAGAGCCGACAGCACCTGGTGGTCAAGGCAGACTTATCCTTGCTCGGTAATGAACCACTGTGCGAATTCCATGCTACTCCGCCAGGAGCCCAAGGCCTGGCTGCTCTCCTGAGATGTGGGGAGAGGAATAGATGGGCAAGGTGGGTCAGGGAGGCGACGGGTGGGGATGCCGACATCTGAAGGTCACATGGGAGGTCAGTGGTGGAATGTTCTGGACAGCAGAGGCCGGGGAAGTGGACGCAGTTCTGGCCCCTCTTCCGGTGCACAGTTGGCTGGAGAAGGGAGCAAGCTTGAGGCTCTCCTGCCCTGGGGGTGGGGGGGTTGTTGGGGCTCCCCTTCTGGATGGGGTGGAGCACGTGTGCATTGAGGTCAGCATCAGGGGCCCCCTGAAGCAGAGTGAGGCCCCACTGGATTCTTTGGGCTTAAACAAAGGGCAACTCAGTGACAGTGGGGCCAGCAGCAGGGAGTGCGGTTTTGCACAAGAGCTTTCACCCTCAGCTCGTGTGTCTAGGGTGGAGCAGAGACACCAGCAACACTGAACAGCCCTGGATCGAGGGGGCTCACCTGGAGTGAGAGATGAGGTGAGGGGTGTTTCTTGCTCACCTGAGTGAAGCCGATTGATTGCACCTGCGGGGGAGGGGCAGCCCAAGGCCATGTGGAAACTGGGAGTGTAGGGTTTGCCCAGGCAGAGGCTGGAGATGCACTTGGCCTTGCCCCACATGTGGACCAGCCCTGTGTGACCCACGTCTGTTCCTGGGGCAAGGGCAGGGCACAATAAAATGGGTCCCCTCACCAGGTCAGAGCAGGACCCTCTGAGTGCTTGCTGCGTGAATGCATATGCGAGTGGTGACAAGGCTGGGGCTGCCAGCCGCGCTCTCTGCTGTGAGCGTGAGTGAGAACGCACCCTGCGCTGCTCGTGCACACAGCCCAGCTGTCCTGCAAAAGAGGGGCCCTTCTCAGGCCCAGGAGGAGCGGCTGGCTTCAGGAGAGCAGAAAGTCTGGCTCTCTCGGTTGCTTGTCCCTGTGGCCTGGCGCTGGCTCTGCTCGCTGCAGGACAGAGGTATCCTTATACAGCACAAAGAACGGTTGCTTCTGGTGCCCCCTGAGGGGACCTGCCAAGCCCCAGCCTGGCTGTCAGCTGTCAGCCAACCTCTTGGGGACATTTCCTGGCACACAAGGGCAAGGTACACGCTCAGATGTCTACACCTAGGCCAGGTAGGTGGAAGACCCTTCAGCTGTGGGACCCCAGGGGTACAAATATCAGACCTCCTGACAGTTCCTCTCCCAGGCGCAAGGACACACACAACACAGGAAAAGCAGCTCCAGCCCGCCTCCGTGCTCTGGAGCCCCCTTGGGTCCCCCAGGTGCTTGCCTGCTGACCCAGGATGCCCTAGGCACACAGCCCTGCAGCCAGCTCCCAGGGCTCAGTAGGGCAGCAAGATGCAAGGCCGATGCCTCAATCTTCCCTTAGCTCCTGCCCCTATCAAGGTCAAATTCACCCTTGTTTGCCTCCTTAAAAAAGAAGTTCACAAATGCAAGACTCAGGCTTTTCCTGAAATTGGAGCCCTGGCAGCTAAGACTGAAAAAAGTGCTTCTTATATTTTCAGACACTGGTCGGCTTGGGGTGCCCAGCCCTGAGACACAGTCAGTTATCTATAGCTCTCTACCCATGTCCCTGTGCCAGGCTCTGGATGCCCTTCCTCCTGGCTGGTCCTCTGCGGGCCAAGTGCCAGTCCTTTCATTGCCCAGGGTAAGGTTTCCAGAGCAGGGCCTGTGGGTCCAGCCTCCCAGGACCCCCCAATGCCCCCCATCTCAGAGCAGCTAAGAATTGGGGAAAGAAAGTGTCCACAGGCCTCTCTGCCCAGCACTCTGGCCTGCCTCCTCCAAGCCTAGCAATGCCCCACCCTGCCCCTTCCTAAAGGCACACATGTTGTCAATATGATTTTATTTCTCTGCAATGGAATCCATGAAAGCCAGAAGCACTGTTGGGGCTGTGGCTTGCAGGGGTCATGGTACCAGCCCTGGGCCTGACTAGTGGGTGATTATAGTTAAAAAACAAAGCAGAACACAGAACGAGTCACTTGCCGTAGACATCACAAGTCTCTTGGGAATAGTGGAAATTTCGTGAGACTTCCCTTAAATAACTCCCTGCCCACAAAGCGCTGGAGGAAAGATGGTCATCACGGGGCCTGATCTCTTTCGGGATGTGGAGTGCTACTGTCCAGCCTGGACGTACAAGGCAGCACATTTAAAAGGCTGTTTGTGTTTCTCTGCTCAGGGAGGCCCAGGCATACCCTGCTCCTGGTTGCTGAGCTCCGAGGGGGTCAGATCCAGAGGACACATGGCGTTTCCCTGTGGAGGAGCTCTGCACGTGGATGGACACACGAGCACATGCGTCAGGCTCACCAGGCAGGTTTCGTGGCTGATTTCTCTTTGTGGCAGGATGAACAGCATGGAGTGAACTTTGCAAAGCAGGCAGAGAGCTCTGCTCTTGGCAGAAGGACACACAGCAAGGTGGGCACGTGGGAGGGGCAGGGTGTGCAGACTGCAAGCCACCTGGCATGGGTGGCCACGCGGGCAGTGCTGCTGAAGGCTAAGGCCAGTGGTCTCTTCCCTGAGCGGCAGGTGAGGTCCTGGGCCAAGGTAACCATCTGCAGGCCAGCTTGTACCCCAAGGGTCCCCATGGTAGCCCTGAGAGACAGCCTGGGGGTGCCTTATTCGTGCTTCACAGGTGAGGAAACTGAGGCTGGGAGAGGCAGAAGGCCACATACCAGGGAGGGTTGGCAGCAGCTGGAGCAAGGTCCCTGACCCCAGGGATGAGCTCTTCCCTCTGCTGCTTCTGAGCTCTGGGGAGGAATTCGGAGAAACTGGCATTTAGACTGAGGCATTTCTGTCCAGACCAGAAGTCTCTGTGGCCAGCTAAGAACCCAGGGCTCACTGGAGCCTACGGCTGTGTATTCTCAGGGACTCCAGGGCACCCCTGAGTATTGTGAGTTTTCCTGGGGGCACTGTCCTCTCCCTTCTGAGGCCCAGGCTGTCTCCAACCCCTCACTCTCCATGCAGGGAGCCAAGGAGGCTGGACAGGAATGAGGCCTCCCCAGGGCACAGCCTGAGATCCTCCCCGCTTCCCTACGGCTGCCCTCCCCAAGCCACTTCTGGCAGACAAGAGCTCAGAGAGACCTTGCAGGAACTGAACCCCCAACTACAATCCTCACCCCACCTCCCTGTGGTCACCCCCCCACTCCAGGGCCACCTATGAAAGCAAGAGCTAGGTGGTCTCTGCCAGCCCCTGCCACAGTCCAAGGCAAAGGGAAGCCCCTGTTTTGGAGTGGATGGCCTCCCGTCCAGCAGGGCATGTGACATGGGATCTGAGGCTGTGCTCTGTACTCTGAGCTCCAACAGCCTCCATCCTGCCCGAGGCTCGGCTGGTGAGGAGGACGTGGCATGGACGGTGTCCAGGCCAAGGCTGCCCGTGTGGACTCTGGACCCTGCTCCCCTGTGGGAGTGAGCTGGGGGAGTTGTCCTGGCCGGGGCTTGAAGAGCACTGAGCCCCCGCACCCTGGAAAGACACCCTTCTGGACCAGTCAGAGCTCCACCATTTCCTGTTGGCGTGTCCCCCTCCTGACCCCCAGCATCGTCCCCTCTCCCTGGGAGGCTGAGCCGGAAGTCAGCAGGCCCTCTCTGGGTGGCGGCAGGCGCTGAGGCCACACTAGGTCTGTGCTCACACATCAAAGGTGCCCTCTCGGCCCAGAGGCCCCAGATGACATCACACAACACTGTCACACAGACATTAGTGGTGGGGCTGGACCAAGTGCTGACTTGTAAGTATGCGCACACACGCGCACCAGCCAATAACATTAAGTGTCATTTTAAAAAATGGGTTAAATAAGCAGCATCGCTGAGGACGGCAGCACCGGGCTGATTACCCCCTCTTTGCACGTCCTGGCGGTGCGAAGGCTTGGAGTCTAATGACTGAATTATCACCCTAATGCCTTTTGCTGGCTGGGAATAATCCGGGGGTAACAGCTGCCGCAGGGTTTTTGGCTGGTTTCCTCTAATTGCATCCACATTAAGGGCGCTGCACGGAGGAGGGCGGCTCTGTCCCCCGCCCCCAGCAGGGTTCCCCCAGGCGACACTCCCAGGTCTGGCTTCCAAGATCCTGGCTGGCCCACAGGTGCAGGTGTCCCCTGGATCTGTGCCGGCCCAGGGGAGGGTGAGGGGCAGGGGTGGCACCTGGTGAGGAACGCAGCTGGTGGAGCTGCCAGGGAGGAAACGAGGAGGTGGAGACATGATGGCGGCTTTCCACCCGGGACCTGCTCCCCCTCCCCAGTGCCGATGTCCAGACACCGCAGCCCAAAGGCACGAGGTGTCAGGCTAAAACACGGGGCGTGAGGATGTGGGAGGGGTGGGCACTTTGCTGCTCTTCCTCTCCAGCAAGGAGTGATGGGGACAGTGGCATTGGGACCAAGACTCCCTGTGGCGGCTGGCAATTGTAACGGCGATCCCAGCCCCCTCTCTTGCTGATGCCCAGGTTTTGCCTATGTGACTGTACAGGGGGACACTAGAGGGGAGGGTCCACACCCCCACCCCAGAATGCCAAGGCCAGCGACGAGACTGCTGTAACCAGAGCGATGCCCGCAGGTGTATATATGCACGGCTTGGAAAGGCACATTCCCAGCAGGGCTGGCCAGTGGCAGGGATGCAAGAGAGACCTACCTGTGAACAGAGTCCAACCAATCAGCCCTCTCTCGGAGGTTTTCCACGGTGCCTCCATAGGGACAGCTCTCAGAGCCCAGGTGGTGGCCAGCACGCTCCATGGCAGGCATGTACCCGCTGTCCCACACGCCTGTCCCACAGAGCTTGCACAGGTCGTGCAGACTGCAGGGGATGCTGGGAACTGCCCAGCCGGGGCTATGACCAGCAAACCTGTGTTGTGAGCTAAAGTTCTGGGGTTATTTGCTACACTGTTTCACTGTGGGAAGGGATGGCTGATAGCACACCTGCCTCTGGGTCGGCTTCCAGAGGGTTGGGGCAGTTCAGGCCTGGTTCACTCGAAGTCCCCAGAGGATCAGGAGCCAACAATCCTCTTCCCAGAAGCGAAGTAGATGAGAATCCTACCTCCCAAGGCCTCGGCTGCCAGAGCACAAAGACCCAGCTCAAGATGGGCACAATGACAACTCTCCTCCAATGACCCCCCACCCCAGGGCTCTTGGTCAGAGGGCCCTGGGAACTTCGAGGCTCCCGTGGAGATGGACCAGGCTCATGGCAAAGAGAAGGCAGGGCTGGTGCAAGCACCCGGCTTCCTGTTGACAAATCACTTTCAAAAGCGGCCCGGTCCAGCAGTGCCTCTACCCCTCCATGACAGAGCTGAGCAGGGGAGGAACCCCTGTCCGTCAACACCCTGGAGGGCTCCGAGCGCCCGGCTCCCAGCCGCGTCACATGTGGCCTTCCACGCACGGCTGGTCACCAGTCTGGTCTATCCATCCCTCCCTCCCAGACGCAGTGAGTGACACGGCCTTTGGGGGGACAATGTGCCAGGAGGTCTTGTTCCCACCCAGAAGTGCAGCGCCCCATGCTACTGTCTGACAGCGCCCTTTTGTGCCCAGCCACCTCAGGAGCTGACTGACGGGAGGTCCGCGTTCAAGCAGAGGCTGCAGCCCCGAGGGAGGTGGGCCGACCTTCCCAGCCAGCCCAGGTGCCTGGTCTTGGCTGGTCACTTGATACTGCACGCGGGCTTGTGTGACGCCTCGGCCCTTTCAGCCCCCAGTTGGCAGCTGTATCGGCTGGGGCTCTGAGGTGAAGGTCCCAGCCAAGGGGTGGCAACCGATGAGTGAGCAGCCCGTGGCTCTGGCTCGTGGGCAGGCACCTCCCTTCCCCACAGTACTGTCCCTACCACTCTCGCTCTCGAGCTCTTCTGGCGGTGTCTTCTCGTGCCGGGATGCCAGGGGAGTGCCTGACCCCCGGAAGAGAGCACGCATGTGGATGTGTCTGAGCCTGGGCAGGGGACCCCACTGTCCCTTGGTGCTGGGGGTGGACAAGGCTTTCTCTCCTATTCCTGCTTTTCCCATTGTCTGGCAAGGAAGAACTCCTGGGTCACGCTGTAACCCACCCAAGGAGGCTGGCATGAGGGCTCTTCTGCCTGCGTCCTGAGGCGCTCCTGGCCGCGTTCCTGGAGCAGGCCTCTCTGGGTGGCTGGGAGGCCTACGCTGTCATTTCCCGACTGTCGTTACTATGCGATGGCGCTCTTCATGCTGCCCAAGGGCATCTTCTTACATTTTCACCGTCCCATCCCCTCCACACCCACCCCACCCCTCCCACATGCTAGGCCCTCTACCAGGCCCTCACCCCCTTGTCCTGAGCAGGCAGTAGCCCCTATCTGTGGAAACCAAAGCCCTCCCGAGACGTCTTTGGGCCCTTCTTGCCGTCTCTCGGAGGTTTGGCTGAAAGCACCTCCACGGTGCCTCCATAGGGACAGCTCTCAGAGCCCGGGTGGTGGCCAGCACACTCCACGGCGGGCATGTACCCGCTGTCCCACATGCCTGTCCCACAGAGCTTGCACAGGTCGTGCAGACTGCAGGGGATGCACGGCCGGAGGCGGAACTGATACAGCAGACTCCTGGCCTGCAAGGAGAGAGGGTGGGGTCAGGGTCCCCAGGGGAGCAGCTGAAAGCACAGCAGCAGGGGCCAGTGCCAGGGGTCTCCCCGTGCATGGCTCAGGGCGAGCCTCTCCCCTCCGGTCCCACTCAGTGACAGCACAGAGGACCCAGGGCCTGCGCCTTCAGTGGTCGCTGTGAAAGGACTACGAAGCTCTCGGGAGTGCTCTGCTCACGGGTGGCTCAAGACGAAAAGTTTTCAAAGGTCTTCATGCAGGACCCGCTCCGAGTCAAGCTCCCCCTGCCCGGGCCACCAGCCAGCCACCTTGAGCCATGGGGGGTGTTTTGGGGTCTGGTGTAGGATACCCTGAGAACCCCTCCTACTGACCCCATGGATGGAGAGCCAGAGAGACCTAAGGAGCAGCACTTCCAGCCCAAGTGTGGAAACGGGGAGGCCACAGCAGTGCAAGATCCCCCCATCCCGCCTAACCAAGCGTGGGAAGCCAAGCCCCTCCTCAGTCTCCGCAGCTCGGGGCTGGGAGCGAGGAGCCCCAGGATGGGCACCAGAACAAGAATCTGTGGCCATGGAGGCCCTGTGTCAGGATGGGGTCTGTGAAGAGTGTGAGGTCCGCCTTTCCAGGACACAGGAAAGGCTGAAGTGCGGCTGCAGATGTGGATCTGAGCCTCGGGCCGCATGGGGGACAGCAGGGGCACAGGGCACCCGCTAGGGGGCAGGGCCTGCATCCGGGGGCAGGCAGAGCTCAGTGTCCACAGGAGGCAGGGCCTGTGTTTGAGGTGGAGCCCCATGTGCTCAGGGTAGGGCCCAGGCCCAGCAGCCCCCTCACCTTCCTGAGCACAAGCTCCCCGTTCATGTGCATGGCCAGGTTGCCGAAGTGCAGGAGCATCTGGTCCGTGGCCAGCTGCTGCTCGATGACGTCGTCCCCGTAGATGGCCACGATGGCCACACAGATGAAGAGGTGGAAGTAATCCGTCTGTGGGGAGAAGTGGATTTCAGGCCGGCTCGGCTCACCCCGAGCCTGCCTGGAGGAAGTGTGGGTGGGGTCCAGCTGAGGCTGTCTGGATCTGAGATCTGTGCTTGAGGTCCTGTGGTCCTGAGGTCCTGGGCAGCTGCACAGTGGCCTTCATCCTGAGCATCCCGTGGGCAAATGGAGCTGCTTTCGGCCAGAACCCACACCCCAGGCTGCCGTGAGTCCAGAACGTGCGGTGCCGTGCTGTTCCATTTGGTCTCTTGGGTGGTCTGTGACAGGGCAAAGAACATCTTCCTCCAAGCCTGGCCCTCCGGAGGCACCTCTGCTGAGGTCTCGAAAGGGGTGGGCATAAGGCAGGGTCAGAACACTCCTAGGGCGCAAGAGACTCTGGCAGCCTCAATCTGCCAGTCTGTCCTCCAGCCACAGACTACAGGCCACAGTGTGGCCCAGACTAGGGTGTGTCACTCGGACCTTGGAAGTAGATTCCAGCTGCGAGGCTTCCTGGTGCGCTCCGGGAGAGCAGACATGATTGCATTGGTCCTAACTTTATAGGAGCTCACCGAGGGCTCCACTGTCCTCCTTTCAGTGCTGGAGAGTGGCAGGTGGCCCACACCTGGTGCCCTCCTACCTGGACGACTCCAGGCACACTGGCTCCCAGAGGCAGGGGAAGGACAGGGGCCCAGGAAGTCTGTGTCTGTCTCCTGCCATCCACCACCCACCCAGATGCTGAGTCCCCAGCCAGGCCGGCAGAGGCAGGGGGCGGTGAACTCCCCAGGCTTTGTCCCAGAACTGATCCAGAAAGACCTTGTTTTGGCTTGGCCTGGCCCTCTGACAGTGGTAAGAACTCTGGCTGGGATGAGATTCCAGGAAGTGGATGCCCAGCTCCTCCTGGAAGAGGGCGAAGGAAGGAAAGATGGGGCCCATTCATCCTGCCTGTGCATGTTCATGTCCAGTGTGTTCATGCAGGTAGGAAATGCACCCCAGTTGTGGGTGCGAGCTGTAGTGGGCTGTGATGTGTGGACAGACATTGCAGGGAGCCTGCCCTACGCTGCTTCAGACTCCCTTTGCTCAGACATAACAGCCTCATGATGCCGCTCAGAGTGGGAAATGCCCCTGCTCATTTGTGCCAGGGTCCATCTGGTGGAGCTGAGGGGCCAGGCCCAGGTTGGAGAGCTGTCTCCTGCAGAATGCATCCCTGCTTTTTCTTTTTTTGTAAGGGTTGATGGATTCAAAGAGACTTGCCTATCCTCTCACACCGCCAATCGCCGCCTGGCGTGGTGTTGAAGCCACGTGACACAGTGAGCCCTGAGCTGGTAAGGAAGTCAGTGGCAAAGACGCTGATTAACAGTGGAGGGAGAGCGGAAGTCGGCAGAGTGCGCTCTCTGGTGGGGCGGCCGGGGAGGGTGGCACTGGGCCTTTTTCTGAGAACGAGGAGGAAGAGCTGTGCAGGACCTCGGTGTACCGCAGAGCAGTCCAGGGGTGCGGTGGGCGGGCTGGCCCGGCCAGCGGGCACTGGCATCTGGCTGCCGGGGCTCCACGCGGCCGGCTGACGTCTGTTCCACTGATTGGCTGTGACAGGAGGGAGCGCAGCCCCAGAAGGCGGTAATGAGCGCAGTCCGCCGGCAATCTGCATCAATTTCAGTGACTGGGGAGGAGAGGACTGAAACAGCCACAGGGGACCAGACGGCAGTTGCTGTGAGGGACCAGTGTGGGGGGAGGCCCGAGAGGGCCCTGCTCACCTGGTAGTGGGCCCAGCAGGCCTCCCAGATCCGCAGGGCCTCGGCCTCAGGGAACTCGCGCTTGAAGCACAGCAGCAGCCAGCGGTGGCAGAACAGCATCTGCAGGCCGTCCTCACCCAGCGACACCAGGTGCTGGTAGAAGCGCAGGTGCGTCAGCCGCAGCAGCTCCCGAAGGTAGAGCTGGGGGAGGCCAGGACGGTCAGCCCTCCTGCAGCCTTGACAAGCATACCGGGCACCCCTCTGCTCCCCATCCTTCCCCGGGGAAGTCGGCTCCATCTGTCTATGCCAGGCGGACCCAGGTTTAACCCTGGGCAGGTCATGGCTGACCTGAGACGCGAGCAGCACTCACTGGGGACGCAGGCTCAGGGCGGAGAGCAGCTGCCTTGGTTATGACCTGCGTTTTGTAAGGGTGTGTGCCGTCTGGCAGCGGACTGTCCATGAGACACTGCAAACTCGGACACAGTGTTATATTTACTTGTCTAGTAATTTCTACACTGTAACTGCAACTAAATTAAAAATCATAAAGTCAACACATGCAGATGTGCAGTGCTTTAAATTCTTTTCACATTTCACCACACCCTGGCGATGAAGGCATCCCTTGGACAGACGCAACCTCCACTGTAATTTTTTTGGGCTGAGAGCTCCTGAGGGTTAAGACTCCTGGATGCTGGCCCCGAGCCAGGCAGAGCAAGGAGACTGAGGCGAACCTACCCTGTGTGGCCCAGGAGGGAGGCTGGCTCCTGGGACATCATCCAGCCCCGGCCAGCACCTGGGGGTTGTTTCTAGCATCCACCCATCCTGGCAAGGCGAGCAGATCAGCCAGGGGAGCCTGCCCAACCCCCTTCCTCTCCCACACCACAATCCTACAGCTCCCTCAGCTGACTCAGAGCAGGGAAGGGACAAGTCTGAGCCCCGGGACGCTGGATTCCCTCGCAAAAGGTCACCCCCTTGTGACGTGGGACAAGATCAAAGCTATTTTTGGCAGCACCAGGCCGGGCTGCTGACTTCACCAATGCTGCTAGAAAATCAATCTCTGGCAGCTAATGAATCACTGGGCCAGCATAGCCTGCAGCTGTCAGGGGCCAACGCGAATGGCAGAATGGCGTCAGACCTTGTAATTGCCTCCCAGGGTACTGGGGAAACCTGACATCACAGAGACGCAGGACACAGTGGAGGGGAGGGAGGGCAGCAGGCTGGCAGCGGGGTGTGTGTGTGTGTGTGTGAGAGATGCTCTTGAGGGCAGAGCTGAGGGGGTCTCAGCGGCCCTCATGCCCCTCCCCACACAAGTGGCCCTTTGTTCCCTCGGGACAGTGGCTGGGACTGCAGCGGCCCAGGAGCTGTGTCCTAGTGTCCTTCCTGCCAGGCTAGGGTCTCTCTAGCTCAACCAGGGTCAAGGTCACAAGCACAGCTGATGGCTGACCTTGTGACCCCTACCCCCAGGGGGCCCGACACCAGCTCCTCCATGCCTCAGCTCAGAGTCCTCTCTGCTGTGCTCCGTAATCCCCTGGAACCCCCTTGGGCTACCTGCCTATGTCCTCCTCAGCCCCCCAGATTTGCCAGGGCCTTACCAAGCACATCTGGTTTAAGACCAGGCCCTGGCGTGACTGTCTGCAGCCCCTCACAGTGAGTGAGTGGTCCCAGCCTAGGGGTCCTGGGACTCCTGCTGTCCTCCCTGGGTCTAGATCACACTTTCTGTCACCTTTACCTCCAGGGGGCCGGTCTCTTGCTCACAGTTAGCTTCCGGGCAGAGCTTTCCCCTGGGCTGAGGGTGACCACACTCCAGGGCCTGATGCTGGCACAGCAGGTACATGGCACACACAGGTGACAAGCAGTGAGGACAGAGAATATGAGCCTTGGCCTGCCAGTCCAGGCTGGCCCACCCCCTCTCCTGCCATTCGGGCTGCTTGTGCTAAGTAGGGCATCCTTGTGGGGAGACCCCATGGGGGTGGCTAGCTGGAGCCCCGCTATTTCTGATGTGGGGACTTGAGAACTTCTGTTGGCCTCAGAATGGCATGAGGATCTGAAGCCCAGACACAGAGAGTTCCTTCCACATGGCACAGGTGTGCGGGACCTTCCTGGACTGGACTGTCAGGTGTGAGGAGAAGGCCACCGTGGGGAGACCTGCACAGCCAGGGGGCCGTCCCCTCCTGAGACACTGAGGGGTGCTGTTTCCTCCCGGGAGGCCCGGGGCTAAATACATCCCATCAGCAACCCTGAACAGCTTTCTGCTGCTGCTGACTGGTGACAACAGCACCACACATCGCCACCGAGACCCCTGGCAGTGAGAGAAGGCAGTGGTGTGCGCCCTCTCTCGGTGCCATGCAGCACATGTGTATGCACACGCATGCACGCACTCACACGGACACACACACACTAAGCCCCAGCACTCACCAGCTGCTTTTCCATGTCCTCGTCCCGGGGAGAGCTGACAAAGATCGTGTTCTGCATCAGGCCAACAAAGCACCAGAAGGTGTCAGACTCGTCCAGAACCTCGGCCAGGATGGGGGCCACCAGGTCCGACATCCCCTGGGAGTAGCCGATGGTCGGGTTGTACACAGCATAGTTCAGCAGGATCCTCCTGCGAGGTGGCAGGGAGGACAGGAGAGGGCTGACCGGGCCGCTCTGGTTGCCTTCTCTGGGGCCTGCTACCTGCAGCTTCCTCTCCTCCATCTGGGGAAGGCAGCACCTGCCCACAGGCCCTGGCGGCTCTGTGACTGTCTCAAGATCCCAAGCTTTGGATCAAGACAAACGGGCTCTTGCTTTGCTGAGGGTAATGGCCTGCAATTAGCCGCTCACCAAGCCGGGAGCCCTGAGCGGGGATGAGGAGGAATGTGGGTCTGATTTTCTTAATGGTTGACTGCTTGTGACAAAGGGTGGGCTGGCAGGGACGTTTTTATGGGCTGTTAATTTTGGGCAATTATTTGCCAGGCTGCAGTAGAATGTCAAAGATGCCAGCCTCTGGCTCTGAGTGGCTTTATCATGGGGGCGACCGCTCATCGGGAGGTGGAGGGCAGTCTTAGAGGATGCCCAGGGTTGGGCTTTGCTGGTACCCTCGGATGGCACCTTGGAGCTGCCCTGGGAAGCAGTGGCCTGAGAGTCCTGCTGAGTCGCTGACCCTCTGCTCTAGTGCCCTGACCGTGTGAGCTTGGAAAGGACCCTGCGGCCCACAGACTTGCAGGCGAGGGAGGACTGGATGCGTGACCCCGTCTAGCCCTGGGGATCAGGGTACCTCATACTCTCCACGTTGGGGTTGTCTTCCCCTCGGAAGAACTGGTTGCTTCGATCTGTGCGGACCACATCTTTATCCACGGTGAACTGCACGTTCCGCCAGAAGGCTCTGTGTTCCTCGGGAGACATGGCAAGCCTGGCAGGGAGAGGGCAGCCCTGCGGCCCAGCGCTCTGCACCCGAGGGTGAGCAGCACATGCGGGGGTGGGGAGGGCCGAGCAGCTGCACTTGCCAGCAGCAAACCCTCCAGCTCCCGAAGACATGGGTGCTGCATATGCAAGGCTGCCTCAGTGGACTCAGCTCCACAGGTCCCAGCACCCCAGTGGCTTGCACCTCCAGGGTAAGGGAGCAGCACACAGTCCCAGCTCTGGGAAGGAGAGCGGTGTGCAGTCCCCGGGGAGTGGCGGCCACCCAGGTGGGACACAGGCTCCAGCTCTCTTTGCTCCTGCCCTACTCCCAGCCTGCAGCTGGGGGGTCAGTGCCTAGCTGAGCCTCTCTGAAGAAGGGTTCTCAACCTGACATGTGAGCTGAGGGGCCCCATCTGGAGGCCCCAGGGTGTGGCAGTACGACTGCACTTAGCCCACCCGGTCGCTCACACTCCTGGGAGACCATGGGTCACGAAGCACATTATTGATGCTGAATTGTGCTTCCAGCTGCCCTTTCAAGGCCGTTTTCCTCCGAGGTTCAGTGGGGTGGGCCGCTCCCCCATACCTCTTCTGCTGGATCTCCTCGTATTCCTTCCGCTTCTGCACCCGCAGAGCCTCCCGCTCCTCCGACGTGGACTCTGGGCTGTAATAGCGCAGCAGGAAGGGCCACACCTCTCCTCGGATGGACACGTCAATGCCGCCAAAGAAAATGGCCTGGAGGAAGCGGCAAAAGTTGGGGAGGGGGATAAACTAGGGGGGCTCAAAGGACCCCAAATCCTTAAGAGATGTGTTTTGGTGGCTTCGGAGCGCCTTGATTCAGACTCCTGCGATTTGCACATGTTTACGAGGGGAAAGCATCGGCCCTCCATTCCCATACAGGACACAAACCGGCTCATTTCAATGTCAAAGGCCCCCCGGGGCGGTGCTCCCATTAACGTGTTCGTTCTCACGTCATGGCCTAATCCCTGGTTTGGAAATGCAGCTCTGCACTTCTGCAGCCCCTCGGTGCACTGACGCGCGATCCCTGCACCCACTCTGGAGCTGTGTGCAAGGCAGCTGCTTTGATCACTCCGTCAGGGTGTGCACATGGAACCTCACACCGGGAAGGAGGCCCTCCCAGCCGGCGGCCCGGTGCCCGGCCCTCCCCGGCAGCTGCCTGGCCCTGGGAGGGCTCCAGTGAGGCCGGCCAGCGGAACCCCGCCTTACCTTTCGCAGCTTGTACTCCTCCTCCACCTGGCCCAGCTCATTGAGGTGGCTGAGCCAGGTGGAGACGTCCAGCCTGCGGCAGGAGCTCTCCTCGGGGTGTGTCTCCGAGGACGGCAGCTTGGGCCGTCGGATGGAGAACTGCATGCACGTCCGTTCATCCGCGACCTGCTGGATGGGAGGGAAACTGGGCAAAGATAATAAGTATCTCCAGCGCCGGGCTGGGCTCTGGCAGCCGGCGATGCTGTTCCCAGGGTTTACAAGGCCCTCTCTCTTCTGAGAGGAGGGGCCCGCGCTGCCCCCTGCATACAAACCCTAAATGGCAAGTGTAATTAGATGCAATTAAAATGAAAATACCTCCATCCTAAAATCGCTTTCCCTTTGCTGCACCCACTCTGAACGCCACCCCCAACTCTCTCCAACCCCAGCCACACACACACACACACACACAAAAAAAGGAATTAATGCCCCGTACGGCCTAACTTCCCTCTGCCAGGAGGGCCTGCAATAAATTACATGTGATTGGCCACATACAAAGGGATCGCTGTTCTGCGAGTGGGGAGCCAGCCTGTCAGATTGTCTCCTCGAGCAGTCACGAATCCAGGGCAAGACTGCAGCTGACATTTAATTCAGAAATCAAAGGTTGTTCAGTGTAGGGGGGAGACGCCATGCTACTGTAATAAGAGAAGCCAGCAGGAGGCTCTGTGGGAAGGATGGGGCTTTAGAGTCAGCCCCGTTTCTAATAAGCACATACAGTATCTTAAACAGATAATTAAAGAGCTCTTATTACATTTGTATGTAGATTGAGCAAAATATGGCAGGAAGCCTTGTCAAAACATGATTTTTCAAGTGCAGAGCCCTGACTTTCAAAAAGCCCTGGGCGCAAGTCTCCCACCCCAAGGGCTTTGCTGTCAGCCCCCCTCAGGCCACGGGGGTTACCCCTCCAGCCTGCGTCCAGCTGGGGAAGCACTGGCCCCATGGGGCTGGGGAGGGGACCAGTCCGGCCATCACCTGCTGGCTGCTGGCAGGCGTCCTGCCCCGACTGCAGGTTTGGGGCGTGGGTGGGGTCGGGGTTAGGGTCGGGGTTGGCAGGCTACCTGGTCTCGTAGGTGCGTCTCAGCGCAGAACTTCCACTGCTGGAACACCTCGCATAGCTTGTCCAGGCCGCCGTGGTGGAAGTGGAGGACTTTGTACTGGCTCTCTCGGCTGGCGACCACCAGCTGGCCGCTGGTGCAGGCCTCATCGCTGGGGTTACGGGGGCAAGGAGTACGCACACTGGGATTTTACTTCCAAGTCTAATCAGAGTTGTCCCCCCTCCCCCGGGGAGCCGGTCCTGGCGGAGGGGGCAGACTCACGCCCAGCACCCCCTCAGCTGCAGAAGGCCAAATAGCTCCCCCTAGGGAGTCCTGAGGTCCCTCACCCAAGGCTGCCCAGAGCTGCCTTCTCCTGCCACTACCTGCCTGCCTACATCATCCCTTGCAGTCCAAGGGGTGAACACTGAGCAGGTGTCGGGGTTGGCTGAAAGCCAACTGGGAACCTGGTGGGGTGGGTACCAAGAGAAGGCCCTGGGTGCAGACTGTGTGGCTGGCGGTGGGGAGAATTCCCAGGGAAACTGACTAAGCATCCACCAGCGGGCACCATCTGCTCAACTCTGGCCGCCTTCGCACACCAAGCCGGAACACGGCTCTGGACTTGGGAATCCCTCCGGGGACGGGTGGTTGCTTCTACGTCTGTGGCAGCCCCCGCTGGTGCTTCCTGGAGCCAGAGCACTAGCAACACCTGGCTGCTGGGACCCCAAAGGCAGAGTGGTAGCTGGGCTGCCCCATGGGACAGTACCACTGGGGGCCCGGGAGGAATGCAGACACCTGGAAGTGGCAGCCAGGGCCCAGCTCCCTCTGCTGCCACAGGCCTGGGAAGCATCCCAGGCTGACTGATGTCCAGGTGCTGTGGAATTTTGCTCTCACCTGAAGAAAAGGCGCAGGGAGCGCATGTGCCCCAGGTCCACACGGAACACACCGCAGATCTGCTCCAGTGCGCAGCCCCGCTGCGGCTCTTCCCAGCGTGCGGTCTGCAGGGTGCCGGTGCCCTCCAGGAACCTCAAGTTGGCATCGGAGCTGGAGGGGGAACTGGCAGAGCAGGCTGTATGAGGAACGCGAGTTTCCTGCCCAGGGCCCGGCCAAGCAATTGTCATGTGCTTTCATTGCATATAATCCTGACAAGAATCCAACGAGATGTAAGGTAACTTTACCCCCACTGTACAGAAGAGGACACCAAGAGGTTAAGTGACTTGTCCCAGGTGGAACAGCCATCTGGGGCAGGAGCTGAGATTAGAACACATGCTTGGTCCTTCAAGCTTGAGAACTGAGCTTGGATCTTGCAGTCTACTTGACAGCCCCTGTGTGCAGCACAGCCCACCTGACCCCTTGTGACCACGGACTTGCTCACATGCCTGACTGCAAAGTATTTTATTACGTGGGCTCAGCCACACCACAGTTAAATCCTGTCTCCTGAGATTTCACAGTAACATCCAGCGAACACCAGAACCAAGGTCTGAGAGGGTGTGGACCCTATGTGGGGCAGGCCACCTTCTCCTGGGCTTGTTGTTCACCAGGAGCTTAGGACACAGAAGTGCCCTTCAGGGGGACGGAGCTGGCTTCCAGACGGAGCCCCTCCATCTCAGCCTTTCCAGTCTGGACCCTTTGCTGCTCCAAGAACAACCTGGGGCAAACCTTCTCGCCACCACTTCCGGGGCCACTGGGGCTCTCCAAACGGGCAGGTGGAGCACCGGGGCCACTGCACCACAAGGCAAGTGAGGTCCCCAAGGCTGAAGTTTGCAGTGTCTGACCCAGTGGACTTGGGCCAGACTGCACTGGGACAGCGCCGTCCACAGAACCAGGCAGGTCCCAGATCCACCCTTGCCTCACCCCAGCATCCTCATTAGCAGCTTGGAAGGAACCAAGAGGCCGAGGTGGCGGCTCCGATCCATCCTGTCCTCACTATTGCTAGAACCTCTCAGCCTCAGCCCTCCGGCCATGCTCACTCTGTGCGGCAGGCTGAGGTTTCCAGAATGCAGAGGTAAGACAGGCTCACTGCGGAGAGTCCTGGGCAGAAGGTCGGTCCTTGCTGATCCCGGAGGGGAAAGAGACAGTTCTAAGCCAGGAAAGGGTCCCAGCTAGAGGGGCCACCACATACCTTCTCCCAGAAACTCACCTCCAGGCTGAAGCCTGCTTAAACCCCTTCACCACTCCTTGGGGGAAAATAATTTGTATCAATTAAATGACTGATTCATTAGGCCTAGACGCTACGATTGGGACCTACTGCTGGGGCCCATGGGCTTGAGCTGGAGCAGAAGCAATGGTCATCTTGGAGGACCCACAAGGCCTAAGGACTCTCCTCCAGGCTGGCTGCTGAGGGCCAGGGCTGCCATCTCCCAGCTCCCAGCAATGGCTTGGCACAGAACACAGAGCCATTTAATGCTCAGGCCTGGAGTGAAAATGTAAAATGTCTGGGAATTTAAAAATCATAGGAAAAAATAACTTTAAAGGAAGTAAAACCCAGGGAACACTGAAACACTTACTTTATTTTTTGGTATTAGGGTTTGAACTCGGGTCCTTGCGCTTTCGAGGCAGACTGCAGCACCACTGAGCTAAATCCCCGGCCAAAATTTACTTAAAAAAAAACACAAACTTTTGATGATTTTCTACATATGTGAATTTGGTTTTAAGAATATTCATATGCGCTGCAAATAATTTAGTTGGTTCATAAAATTATTATGTGCAATGCATTAAAATTAAAAGGAACGTTTATTCAGGCAGTAACTCCCAAGTTGTTATTAAGTTAAGAATATTTTATACAGAGGACCTGAAGATGCTAAGCTTTAAGAAATGGCATTTCTTAGTTTCTATCATTTTCTAAGGATCACCAAAATGCAAGAGCAAAAATGAGAGAAGCCAGAAGCACCGCAGCAACTTCTCGAACATGAGTCCTTTTTCTGTCCGGAAGACTGCCGGTCAGGCACCAGCGTGTGACTGAGAGGTACCTCACATTCCCTGCAGCCCTCCCAGTCCCATCAGGAGTGACATTCCTCTCCTGTCCCTGAAATCTCGGCACGCCTTGTTTGCCCAAGAGAATGTGGTGAAAGTGTTGCTGTGCAAATTCTGCAGCCTGGGCCTCAAGAGGCCTGGCAGCTTCTGCAGGATCCTCCTGTACAGTCCGGGCAGGAAAGATGAGAGACCAGGAGCAGGGGACAATCAGCTGCTGGTCAGCACCAGCGTCTCGCCGCAGGCAAATGTGCCATTTCACACAAACAGGGGCCCCAGTGACTGTGATAGCCTCCTGAGCCAGGCCCGAGGGGCCCAGCAGAATAGTCTAGTGAGCCTGGTCAGAGGCCGTGGGCAAGGCAGGGGTAGCTTTTTAATGCTGAGCTGGGGTGGTCTGTTATACAGCAGTACACAGCTGATACTTACAGAAAGGGTCTGCTTTTAGGAAAATCTTGAGGGGCGAGGAAGAAACTTCCAGGCACACCGAGCTGTGGCTCCCAAGATCAGAGACACAGGCCAGAGTTTAACATTATTCAAAAGATCCCTACCTCTAATTTTGCGCTTTTCTTTTGAGTCTGCTGAAGGAAAAGTCAATGCACCCCCAGTTATAGATCCCAAGCATAGTATCGGCTTAATGAAGGAGTCAATTAATTGATGTGAATAATGTTCCCCCAAGGAGTTGTGGAAGGGTTTAAGAAGACTTCTGCCTGGAGGCAACTTGCCAGGGTAGAGGATGTGGTGGCCTTCTCTCTGGAACCCCTTCCTGGTTTGGAATCAGCTCCCCACCCAGGTGACCAGCAGAGGCCTTTGGCCAGGGACTCTCCACAGTGGGCCTCTGTCCTCTAACTGGTTTCTGGGAGCCGCACCCATGGGGCGAGAAGGACACATTGTGGCAGGAGGAGAGGCCTGGAAATAACCCCACCCTGCTGTGATCCCTCATAGCAGTCAAAGGTCAGAAGCAACCAAGCCGTCCTTTGGTAGGTAAAGGACAGTGAGCTGTTGTGCATCCAGACAATGGAATGTTATTCACTGCCGGAAGAGGTGAGCTCTCCACCACGCAAGGACATGAAGGAAGCCTAGGTACCAATTACTAAGGGAAGGAAACTAGTCTGAAAGGGCCACTTGCCGCATGATGCCAGCTCTATGTCCTGCAAGAGGCACACTATGAAGAGGGCAAAGGGGTCAGTGGTTCCAGGGTTGGAGGAAGGAAGCCAGGGAAGGTGGGGCGTGGGGGAGTTTAGGGCAATGGAACAAGTCTGTCTGACACCCTGACGATGGGGGTGTGCATCGTGACACTGTCCACACCCCCAGAGGCTGTGTAAAGCGAGCGTGAGCCACAGACTCCACGAGACAGTGAGGGCCAAAACGGATTCTTCAGCTGTCACCCCCACACCACTCTGGTGCTCCCCAGAATGTACTGGGGAGCACGGGGGCAGCCGGGGGCCAGGGGCCTGTGGGAAATCTCTGCATCTTCTGCTCAGCTTTGCTATAAGCCTAAAACTGTGCTAAAAAATTTTAAATAAATACATACTATTAAAACAACAATGAAGACAAAAAGTCCAAGAACTGGGACATATGTTGTATATGATAAAGACGCATAACTGGGATATATTTTTAAAAACCATACAAAGAAAAAAGAAAAGAATGCCCAACAGAAAACTGGCAAAAAGTAAACAAAAATAATTTACTAGAGAATAAATACAAATTGCTAATAAAAGGTTCCTGTCCAGAGCAATAAAATAAAATGCAACTAGAAACAAGATACCATCTCAGGGAAGGTTTCTGAAGTTGGGAACAATTTAAAATTGTAAAATCTGGTAGAGGCAAGGAAGTGAGGAAACAGCTTAACACAGCTCAGGAGAATAGAAACTGGCCCAATGTCTCAGAATGAAAATTCGGAAACAGAATGAAAAAGGCTTAAATATTTTATTCATTTGATCTTTATTTTTATTTCTAGGAATGAATCCTTAGAAAAGAGCCAGAGATGCCCACCAGAGCTAAATACATGAATAGTGCAGAAAGCATACTCACCATCTAATGTGCATTTGTGACAAAAATGAGGACCAACTGGGAGTGGTAGCATACACCTGTGATCCCAGCACTTGGGAGGCTGAGGCAGGAGGATCACTGTGAGTTCGAGACCAGCCTGGGCTACATAGTGAGTTCCAGGTCAGTCTCAACTACACAGTGAGACCCTGCCTCAAACAAACAAACAAACAAACAAACAAAATGAGGACCAGAAGGGAACCTTCTCTGGTTGATAAGGGAGACCTGAAGATATTCTATAGTTGACATCATATTAAGTGATAAAAGATTGAATTGTTTTGGATGCCCAGCTTCACCGCTGAACTGGAGACCCTGGCCTTGTATAATACAAGGTGAGAAAATAAGATTCATAAAGTTTGGAAAAGTAGTAAACTGTTTTTGAAGCTAATATGACTGTTTACATGAAAAAAAGCCCCAGGGAAATTATTATAAAATAACTTTTAGTACCAATAAATGAATTTAGCAAGATTATAGAATAAAAGGTTAAACAAAAGTTCACTGTATTCTTCAATTAGCAATGCACAACTGGAAATGAAATAAGTAAAACATTTATAGAAGCAAAAAACCTCCATATGTAGTATTTAGGAATTAGTCTATCCAAAGGTACTAAGATATCCATGTTGAAAAACCCAAGACTTCTGAGAGACCAAGGAAGATCTCAGTCAACGAAGAGCTATACCATGTTCATAGAGTGAAACAGTCGGCACCGTCGGGATGGCCATCTCACCCAGAGGATCCAGATTCAATAAAAATCCCTGCAGCAGGAATTTCTGGTAGAAACTGGCAAAGTGATTGGGAAGTTTTAAGGAAATGCGAAAGATCCAGAAAAGCCACAGCAATTAGAAAAATGAAGAACAGGGTCAGAGCACTTGCCTGTCTTTGTGACTGGTGAAGGCAGCGTAGCCATGAGAGTGTGACATGGGTGAAAAGACAAACACGGTGAAGCAGACAGACCATCAGTGGGACAGGCTAGAGAGTCCAGCAGGAAAGGAGTAACAACTTGTTGACAAGGGTGCAAAGTGCACCTCAATAAGAAAAGA